CTGAAAATCCCACCAAGGACAATGAAACTTACATCAACCTTCTAACCCAGATAACATTCCAGAAATGGCATGTTAATCTAAAAATTGTCATCAACAAAGACTATACCATTCATACAGTGGCTCTCATTGACTCCGGTGCTGATCTTAATTGTATCAATGAAGGACTTGTCCCGACGAAATACTTTGAGAAGACCAAAGAACGGCTTCAAGGTGCTAATGGTTCACGACTCACTGTTCAGTACAAGTTAACCAAAGCCCATGTTTGTAATCAGGGTCTTTGTATTAAAACACCTTTCATCCTTGTCAAAGACCTCAATACCCCTGTTATTTTGGGAACTCCATTTATTTTTCTTCTTTACACGTTCAAAGTTGATAGCCAAGGCATTTCAACAAGTCTAGTTGGACAAGAAATTTGATTTCCTTTTGCTCATCCTATAGACACCAAGGATCTCAATACCATTAAGGATTCCTATGTTACTCAAGTCCCTGTTGTCAACAGAATTGAAAACAAAACAAAGCATTTAGACTTTCTCAAACAAGAACTAATCTTCAAACAGATTGATGAACGACTTAGTCAAAAAAGTCTCCAAGACTCTATTCAAAGGTTCCGATTAAGACTTGAAAGTCAGGTTTGCTCTGAGCTCCCAAACGCCTTTTGGCACAGAAGACAACACATTGTTGAATTACTTTATGAAAAATCTTTTAATGAAAAGGATATCCCTACCAAAGCCCGTCCTAGCCAAATGAGTCGAGAACTACTTAATTACTGTATGAAGGAAGTACAGGAATTATTAAACAAATCCCTCATCCGAAAAAGCCGTTCCCTATGGAGCTGTGCCGCTTTCTATGTCCAAAAGAATGCTGAAATAGAAAGAGGTGTTCCCAGATTAGTTATCAATTACAAGCCCCTCAATGAAGTTCTTCAATGGATCAGGTATCCCCTGCCCAATAAAAAGGACCTAATCCAACGTCTCGTTCATGAAACCGTTTTTCAAAGTTTGATCTCAAGTCAGGATTTTGGCAAATCCAAATTGCTGAAAAAGATAGATACAAAACAGCTTTCACGATTCCTTTTGGCCATTACGAATGGAATGTGATGCCTTTCGGATTAAAAAATGCCCCTTCAGAATTCCAAAAAATTATGAATGATATTTTTATTCATCTTACGAATTTTTCAATTGTTTATATTGATGATATACTAATATTTTCTTCTTCTATAGATGCTCATTGGAAACATCTCAATATCTTTGCTCAAACCATCAAGCATAATGGATTAGTCCTTTCTTTATCAAAGTTAACTTTGTTTCAGACCAAGATTAGGTTTTTAGGTTTCTAGATCCACCAAGGAACTGTCATCCCAATCAACAGATCCATCCAATTTGCTGATAAATTCCCTGATGAAATTAAAGACAAAACCCAGCTTCAAAGATTTTTAGGGTGCCTAAATTATCTCTCTGAGTTTTTTAAGGATCTTTCCCTTCTTTGTGCTCCATTACGCCAAAGATTAAAAAAGTCCCCTCCCCCACGGTCCGATGAGTATACAAAAACAGTCAGAATCCTTAAAAGCAAAGCAAAAAACCTTCCTTGCCTATCTATTGCTAATCCAGAAGCCTTCAAAATTGTGGAAACTAATGCATCTGAATTAGGATATGAAGGTATCCTAAAACAAAAAATAGCTGATAAGGAACAACTAGTTCAGTTCGCCTCTGGCACATGGAACCAAGCACAACAAAATTACTCTACAGTCAAAAAGGAAATTTTATCTATAGTTTTATGCATTTCAAAATTTCAAACTGACTTACTAAATCAAAAATTTTTGGTTCGTGTTGATTGCCAATCTGCAAAAACTGTTTTAAAGAAAGATGTTCATAACATAGCCTCAAAACAAATTTTCGCCAGATGGCAAGCTATTCTTTCTGTATTTGACTTTGATATTGAATATATAAAAGGCGAAAACAATTCTCTTCCTGATTTTCTCACCAGGGAATTTTTGCAGGGAAAAGCAGGAGCTTAGGGGTGGTTACTATGCCTCCCAAGACAGGTAGAGGAGCCTCAGTTGCGAGCACAAAACCCCACAAAACAAAAGATGCATATGCTCAATCATCCGCTTCTCAGAACCCTTCCAAAAAAACCTGGTATGATAAAGTCGAGGAAGATGAAAAAGTTACGTGTGCTAGTCCACCTCCATTAATTACAAACCAGTTTTCAGCCCTAACCACAACTTCCCAACATGTTAAAGACATGTCCCCAATCCAGTATGACCCCATCCAAGCATATTTACAATCCCAACAACCAGTTTTTCCTCCCCTTCAAAAAACTTATGCTGCAATTTCTTTAGCATCAGATAAACAAATTTCCTCAAGATCTGCTTCACAGCAAGTGGTGGTCAACAACCCCACTCTCAAAAAATCTCGTTATTTTCAAAAACCAAATACATCAACCATTTGTGTGGTTGAAAAAGAGCTTTTTAACCAAAACCCAGTTTTACTTTCTCAAAATCATTTTGTCAAAGGTTTTCATTATCCAATATCAGATTTTCGAAAAACACAAAAATTTTATGAGTTTATTTTAGTGGACACTGATTCCATCAAAATTCGAACTCATTCAAAACCAGGTGATGAGTCTTTCATTTCTCACACCACATGTACCATTCAAAAAGTCCTTACTCCAGCAGCCTGGGGTAAAAACATCAATGCTCCGAGGTAATTTTCTCAGCCTCGCAACCCTCAAACTTTCAATTACTGGGACTATCAAGATGCCTGGTACAATACCTTTTATTTCCAAAATCAGGAGTATAGCCATTCCTGGCTTATCCTTTTCCAAAAGAATTTCAATCTAAATGTCCCCAGATGGTTCATTGACTGGTGGCATATGTTTGGTCCCTGCCAAAAAATCATCCCTGAAACGATGTCCAAGGGATTTTCAATTTTCAATGAAAAATTCCATGCTCCTCCTGAGCTTTCCGAATTTCCCAAATCATTCTTATTTTTTGAAAATTTCGCATTGTCATGGATAGTTCTATGGCAATTCCAAATCCTCAAAACCCCTTCTAATCTTCCTCTTCCAGGAAGGATTTTCAAAGTCAAATGGTGGGACCAATTCTCTATCAAAGATGTTACTCCAGAAGCAATTTTTGAATGGTTCTCAAAGCACCCTTCAATATCATGTTCTGGCTTAGGAGAGTCTTCGGCTTTCCTCCTATCCAAAAGCCAAGCCCAAGCAAAACTTTCTTCAGCAAAATCCCAAGATGAGTATGAAGCCTTCCTCATGGAAGCTCTAGCCCAAGTCAATCCCATAGCCTTCTCAAAATTGGGCTCCAACAGAAGTAAAGGCTCAGGTTCTTTCCATGGTTCCCAAACAGATCTGGCCCAACCCAATGAAGATGACTGTTTTGGTATTTTCACCCAACAGCTCCAGTGAATATTATTCTCAAAAATTATCATTTCATTTCAAAAAAGCTTCTGACCTCGGTCATTCAATGCCGCTGTATAGCGACAAAAAAAAAAAAAAATAAAAAAAATAAAAAATAAAAAAAAAAAAAAGAAGTTAAAAACTACAGTTTAAAATTTTATTCAACAATTCTCCATTTTCAGGCTTTTAGCACCTTTCGGTGTTCATAACAGACAAGCTTTTCAAAAAAAGGAATCCAAAGCAAGTTAGTGGCCATCACCTCAATTCAGCCTTTCAGGCTTTGCACATGGTTTCCAGCATCATTCAAAAGACATCACCTCAAATCAGCTTTTCAGGCTCAGCACATGGCCTCCTGCTGCATCCTTATCTCCAAGGAATCCAAAGCTCCCCAAGGCTCCTTCGAGGCACTATAAATAACAGCTCCTCTAGACATTGGAGGCAGGCTTATTTTCAAGTTTAGATTTTAGTTTCCGTTTCAAAAGTTCTCAGTTCAAATTGTAATTTTTAAGTTTAAGTTTTTAGTTTTACTTCATCCAAGAAGCTCAGCTCAGAACAAAAATGTTGTATTCAAATATCAAAGTTGTAAGTTCCATATTTTAATCAAAGTTCTTCAAAGTTATTCATGTTCTGTTGTTAACTTGCATATTTCCATATATATATATATATATATATATATATATATATATATATATATATATATATATGTATTATTTCATTGTATTATTTTATTAATTATTTAACCTTTTCAATATCATAAACACCCAGGATGAATAACTGATAATGTATGTATATATATATGTATATATATATATATATATATATAATCACTATAAGAACAGCAGTGATGTAGTACTACTTGAACAAAAAACAATATGGTCAATCAATAACAATCACACTAGCAAGGATCACCATATATAAGTACTGATAAAACCTTAACTTTACCTACAACACATAATGTAAACAACGTTAGCTAGCGGGTAGGTTAATTCTTCGTTAGAATAAACATATATATATATATATATATATATATATATATATATAGTACATATATATTAGGAATACGTACCAACCACTACAACAGTTTTGGTTTTTAAAAGCGCTAGTAAAAGCCTTAAAAAGCGCTAGTAATTCAATTACCAGCGCTTCTTTAAAAGTGCTGGTAAATCCAGTGTCGGTAAGCCTTTACCAGCGCTTTTGAAGAAGCGCAGGTAAAGGGTTATTTGAAATTTTTTTTTTAATATTTTTTGTTTCCCTATGCCAGCGCTTTTTGAAAAAACGCTAGTAAAGGGTTATTTAAAAAAAAAAAAAAAATTAATATTTTTTTTTCCCTATGCCAACACTTCTTAAAAGAGTATTGGTAAAATTATTTACATTTTTTTTCCCCATTATTGTTTTTGAAAAAAAATTTCTTCACGGCTACTAAATGCATCCTAACAAGTCAATATAAAAATACCATCCAAATTGTTTTTACAAACAACCACAAGTTAACCCTACCAATATGAAAAATACTATCGAAATTGACTACTAATACCACAAGTTAAGCTAGTAAAAAATGTATACTAATACAACCACAAGTTAACCTACCAATATGAAAATACCATCCAAATTGTCTAGATAAAGATACTAAATGTCACACAAAAAGAATTAAGAATTTTTAACAAATGTAATACAAGTTTTTCAAAAAGAACCCATCCAAGGTGAAGGAAATTCAAAAAGCACCGACCCCATCTTCAACTTCAACAAGTCTTCTTGCCCATTTGATTTGAATTACCTTACATTTTTTATAAATTCATTAAGCGCACATTATAATAAATGAAAATTTAACATATATATAAGAGAAATTAAAAGTTCATAACCTTAACTGAATTGGCATCACGACTAGAAAATGGATTTGGGAATACTCTAGGAGGAGCATTTAAAGAATCAGAATCCTTCAAAATAACAAAACAAAATACATGAAATATTGGCATAAGTAAACATATATTTAGTAAAGAGTAAAACTAATAATAAATATACCTGTCCACTACAATTTTGTTGTTGCATCTGCATTAGCATAGCCACCTGTTGTTGTAAATTTTCCAACTTGTCGTCGTAGTTGGCTCGTAAATTTTCCAACTTGTTGTCATAGTCGGCTTGCATTTTTGAAATTGTCTCCTGCAACTCTACACGTGTAGCACATGCCTCCTCCTAAGATTTTTTAGCATTATTAATCAGTTCAGATTTACTAGGAGAGGGCCCCCAAACATCGCTTAGTGTAGGCCCGAAGCCAAGCATCCGCACACGACCAGTTCTCTCTTCTCCCCTCACAATGAAGAACAAATCATTGGAGCTGCCAGTAGGCGAGTCAGAGTAACTTTTTTGAAGTTCTCTTATGTTTTCCTGCCAAAAAAAAAAAAAAAAAAAAAAAAAGTTTGAACTACCATGACATACTACTATGAAACATCCGGAACTGAAAACCCTAGATTCTAAATAAAGCACAAAAGAACTGAAATCCTAACAAGCTATGAACATGTAATGCTTAAATATACATGTGCATGTCTAATATATATATATACCTAAGCTTTCATGACAAAAACAAAAGGATTTAAATGAAGTAAATAGAGAAGAAAAAAAAATCAAATTTTTATCAAATTGGTAGTTCTTTTAATACATTGTGCTAAAGTATACACTTAATAAAAAATGTAATCGAGTCGTTATAAAAGAGGAAAAATCAAATTAGTAGTCTTTCGAGGTACCAGACATTGTGCTAAAGTATACAATATGATTAAAGAAATTGCCAACTTATGAGTACTGTTGTTTATGTCTAAATTTGAATGTCCCATCTAATTGAAGAATCTTATATAGGTAATTGGACAAAAGACTTGGTGTGCAATTAAAATTATAGGACACATAATTCTATGTCTTTAATTTAATTAGATTCACTAGGCAAAAGTTTTTGCACCTAATATTATATTTTACTTTTTTCCTAGGTTATCATTTGTAGTTTCCTAAGCATTTTCTATCCTCAAATGGGAAAAAATGTAGAAACCAAATGTGCTTCCTGATTCAGTAGAAAATAATTAGTATAAGATATCTATATTGCAATACAAGAAAAAACAAGTAAAATTGTTAGCAGAATAATTTCTCTGGATGCATTTATTCTTCCAAACACTCACTATCCATAGAAAGAAGGAAAAAAAGGTGAAGGGTGAAATTGAATTTGCGTAATTTACTAAGGAGATGTGAAACCTCTTCTGCAATTGTGTTTCTTTCTGCCTTTAAGTTTGGTATACTTTGATGTAAATCAGCATAATTTCTTAGTGATCATGATTCGTGTGTGTGTGTGTGAGAACTACTAATTTGATTTTCATGCCAAGCTTTTTGAAGATGGAAATCTTTTCAGAACTGAAAAAAAAAAAAAAAAAAAGAATCTGAATTGGATTAGAAATCTGAAGAGATTGAATTTGAAACAATTTTTATCAACATGCCAAGCTTTTTGAAGATGGAAATCTTTTCAGAACTGAAAAAATAAATAAATAAATAAAATAAAATAAAATAAAATGATTCTGAATTGGATTAGAAATCTGCAGAGATTGAATCTGAAACAATTTTTTACCAATATGCCAAGTATTTGAAGATGGAAATCTTTTCAGAACTTAAAAAAAAAAAAATTCTGAATTGGATTAGAAATCTGCAGAGATTGAATTTGAAACAATTTTTATCAACATGTCAAGCTCTTTGAAGATGGAAATCTTTTCAGAACTAAAAAAAAAAAAAAAAAAAAGAATCTGAATTGGATTAGAAATCTGCAGAGATTGAATCTGAAACAATTTTTATCAATATGCCAAGCTTTTTGACGATGGAAATCTTTTCAGAACTGAAAAAAAAAAAAATCCCATCAAGAACTTTATAGATCATGAACAAGTGTTTAGTGGCCTTTACATAGCTTGTATATAATAGTTGAAGTTGTCTACATTCAAAAGACTATTGCCACAATATATGAGTAACAAATTAATACAAATAACAAACAACAAATAGAAAATACTTCTTCTCCACAACACAAATCAATCAACAAGAAGCCTCCACATACAATAATCCCATACTCCCATGCTTTTTAACAAATACAAGAAAGTAAATTGCCTCCACACGGGCCGATGATTTAAAAATTGGTCACTTCAAGGCACGTGACCCCCTAATACAGTGTAAAGAGTTTAAAAATTGGTCACTTCAAGGCACATGACCCCTTTTTTGCAAAATGGAAGCGTGAAAACTTACAATCATCTCCGAAGCAGCAGCATCAGTAGCTTTGCCATCCTTATTTACATGTGCGCGGATGAATAAATCTGCACGAGAAAGCTGAATACCTTCGTCTTCCTCAATCTATAAACGAATACATTGTGATATATATTATTTAGCACTAACATTTATAATCATTCAACGACATAAGAATTGATATAATTTAATTTTCCATAAAAACTTCAACTAACCTCGGCAGAAACACGTGCAAAGCTTTTTGTCCCTGTAGTATGCATCATTGTCTACTTCCCACGACGTTCTTTATTTTTTTTGCTGACCTCCTACAAAAAGTGAGAAAAAGTAAAAGTTCTTTGAGTAAAGAACATTCCACCTAAAATAATGACTGAAAGCAAATAAACTATAAATTCATCTCATTGACTTCAAAAAACATTGTGATAAATGGAGGTTTACCTTCGCCATAGGCGTACCCCAATGCCTAACCAAAAATTCCCAATGCTCCTTTTCAACATTAGGTGGTGGGTTTGCCAATCTTTCTTCATCTGTATCCCTAACTGAGTAATATTCATTTTTCAACTCACACTTGTACCCCCTCTATTTTTTTCCAATGGAAGATATTGTCCACTGTTTTGTCATGATTCCCACATCATATTTTCCCTGAAAATGTGATAATTGTTGTATGTTAGTCCACTTTTTTCATAAAAATTATTTTAATGTTATTGAAGGGTTTTACCTTTACAATGTTCCACATATCCTCCTTTAGCCATTTAGGCATCTCCCACCAAGTTTTGTAGCACAAAGGACCTAATTCACCCTTCCGGGCAAGTGTTCCTAGATAATTAGTATATGTACCACTCCCAGGACCGATCGGCTGTCCAAACTTATTAACCCTAAACAAAAATTAACAATTGTAGATGTTTAGTACAAAAATAAAGATAGAAATCCTTTTTTCTCCTTCATATTGAATATAGTCTAATTATGTAAACTATATAAGATGATCTATATATATATGTACCTTAAAGGTAATAAGGTTTTCGCGTCTATGACATTCTTACATCGTGTCGGACCCCGTCTCTTCTTCGGCGGTGGTTGGGATGATTTTGAAGTTGAAGCTTCGGTATTTTGTTCACTCACTTTTTCCACTTCACTAACTGTTCATTTCATTGTCAACTTATTATTTATCTTTCCTAGAAAAGCAAACAAAAAAGTGAGAATTCAGTTAAGAGAATGCAACCAAATTGTTAAAAAAAAGACAATAAAATTGTAATTCAACACAACATCTAAACATCAGCACGGGCAATTTAATAACTATGACACAGTGGTAATTATTGACTACTCTTGTTCCAAGTCAAAGTATTAAGTTGGATCCAATGCAACTGATTACAAGCCAATCTATAATGCCATCGAGAATTGATGAATAAAATAGCTAATGGACGATAGATATATAGTTGAGCAAGATCAACAATTCAGTGAATTGTCCCTCATTGGACTAAGTCTCTAGTTTTCCCCTTTTTATGGTCTTTCACATGAAAATATTGTGTCCATACTATATTTTATGCATGAATGTTGCGGTTGTGTTGAAAGAATTCAAAACCTAACGGATATAAACAAAAATCCAAATCACAGTAATCATAACTAACTAGCTAAATTTTAAAGAGTTTAATTGTAATTCAAAAAGTTACTTTGTTGCAAATTAATATCTATAAGACCTATTCATTCTCTCTCTAGGTCTAATTTACCAATATGCATCAGAGTCTTGGGCAACAATTTCACGTACTAACAACTTTCTTTTTCCTTTTCACTTTCTGTTAATGTCAACATGCTCAGCACATGCATCCTTTGTAAAACAGCATCCCTATAAAACACTATTTTGTATGTTCCATCATTTTACATACCATCGCAAAACTGACTGCATCGACATAGAGCCAAAAATGGTTCTCCTCTTCAATCTTTTTCAAAAAAAAAAAAAAGAGCGCTGGTACTGTAACACCTACACCAGCGCTTTTCCTTAAAGCGCTGGTACTGTAACACCTACACCAGCGCTCTTCCCAAGAGCGCTGGTAAAAGACTAATCTGTTGTAGTGAGTGGTCATCTCTTAATAGTATCCATTTTCATTCTGTAAGATTTTCATTCAAGACAATGTGCAGACTGCTATTATAAATATGTTCTAAAAGCAACAATTATTTTTATTTTTATTGTCAATTCTATACATAACACCATCTGACCCAAGGAGTATGTTTACATATAAAGTCCAATGTGTCTCCTCATAGAGGATTTACTTCAATTCAGAAGCCTTTTCATACCCAAACACCCTTCTGATTCAGGATTAATTGGATATAGCATCCCATTCGACTTCTCTGCTACTTGGTGCTTGAATTCTGAACCAGTCCAAAGGAAAGATCACAAAATTTACTACTCCATAACTCGTATGAATATTTGAATACTAACTAAAGTCGAGCAGAATTGTTAGGTCAACTTAGTTCTAACTCTTGTTGATAATTTTGTCCAATAATTCCTTGCAATATCAGGCCAAAAAAGCCTACCAGAGATTAATGATAGTCCAAAACATATTATTGGAAGTTTACCAATTTCTATATCATGAATAAAAACTGACATTGACACCACTAAGGATAAATAGGTCATCCCACTTTGAAGACAATTAAGGTGAAATGTGAAATTATTATATGCAAAATTGCAGAGAAAGCTTCATGAAGTAGGTAAGGAGATATAGGATCTACTCACCTAAGCCCTCTAGATTGTTAATATATATATATGTGTGTGTGTGTGTGTGTGTAATATATATATACACACATAGCACCATTTAAGCTCACTGAAAATGTAGCAGTAGTTACACACTGTAATATTATCAGGGAAATAATAGGTTGTTAATAGATATATCCATGAAAAAAAAAAAAAAAATCTAGCTCACAATATAATAGGATTTCATAAGATCAACATTTATATAGAGCAACAGGAGAGCCTATGTCCTAATCTTAGTTCCTCACATGCTGTTGTATTAAGGGGATATTGTCAACTATGCTTCTTTCTTTCACAAAGGCAGCCTGTTTGAATTAATGATAGACAGCAATATATATATATATATATATATATAAATAGATTTAGGTTTGCTTTTCGTAAAACGAAAAATTTGGCAATAAATTTGTAGGTGGTGGTTTATTTATTTATTTATTTTTACCTGAAAGAGCTTTGTAGGCATTGTTACATCAAGGCATGCGTCTGATTTTTTTTGAAAACTTGGATTTTGCACTTTTGATGCAATGCGCAATGGTTATTAAATTCCTTTACTTCAGCATCCAACCTCATTCAAAGAAAAATTCAGTTGCTAGCATACCATCACCACTCACCAACCATTTTTTCTGCCAAGTATGGCTCAGCCAAGAAGCATGAGCTCCCCTGCACAAGCCTTATTGTATTAGTTTCGTAAAGCCAAGCTTTGGCTCTCAAAAGACTAGAGAAATGGATTACTTGGTACAGTTTGAATTTACTATCATATTTTTACTGATTATTAGAGCTCAATAGATGCGGAAAGATATTGACAAATTCGTTCTTCGCATCACTATACTTCTCCAACCCCGTCTGTCCTGAAAATTAATAAGATTTTGTTGCCTGTTCTAATGTAGTTTACCCTTTCCCAAAAAAGGAGAAGTTGTGATCTCCCAAATATTAACCATTTTGGCCTTAGTTTCTACCTGTAATATGCTACCTTCGCAGCACTTAGTTTAACAAAGGCCAGAATAATATATTTTTCTTCTGCTATAAGCTCACTGTTTTGGGGATTATTATATGTATGCTTTTGAATTTTCTTCAATTTAATTATCCCTAGCTTCGATCAGCAGTTCAAGAAGAGATATTACTAATTAGTCTTTTATAAAAAAAACTTTGAGATCAGGTCTTAAACCTTTCCAGTTTTTTTGATATTAGGTTACCTTTGAAAGACTGATTCTATTAATTAGTACTGCTCCATAACTAACCTGAACAGTGTATGGTGCTTAAGGTGTGCCGTTTACCATCGTCAGCTCAAAATACAATTTATTTGTTTGTTTTAGTGAGGTAAAGGCGTAAAGCACACACACATGCATCGCATGCACATTGCCCCACTTGGGACTCAAACCCTCACGTTTTTGGGAGGAGAGGTGGTACTACCCAAGCCAATGACCTAATGGTCAATTGCAAGCCAATGATGTAAATACTCAATTTTGTAAAATATTCAACTTAAAGTGGTAAAATGAAAGTAGTCTGTGGATTGAGATTTTTAAAATATCGAATCTAGTTCAAGGGTCTTGGTTATCTATTGGAAATTGGAAGTCATGCAATTTCGGAGGACTGAAAATTCCTCATAATCTTGGATGAGTTTAGTGAAGGTGATGAACTTCCTAGTCTTCATGATATTTCAGTAGCTAATGGTGATTGGACATAGTGTAACAAGCAGAGAAAATTTTGGTGTATTTGTGCCAAACTTAATAGCCTCAAAGTTTGTGGCTGAAACTTTCCAGCATACCAAGATTATGGCATGATAGTTAACTGCCTCTTAAATGCAGCTTCAGTTCCAAAACCTTTCTAGTTCATAAAGTTCCCAAACCTTTCTAGTTCGTAAAGGTTTGTGCCATGAGAAACACATTGAAGGCATTACTGAAAGGACTATAAGGAATAATTTTAAATGAATAGATAAAAAATTAAAAAGCAGGAAAAGCAATCTTCAATACCTTCAAATAATATTAGCCAATCAAATGCGAGTTATCCCCTTCTTGATTGCTAATGTTTAGGAAACCGGGACAAAGGCTGAATTATAATGGCCACACTGTCAGCAATAGCAAGAACATAGCAAGCTTAGTGTCTTATAGCATACAAAAACAAAAAAAATTTGTTCAAGTAGGAGGCAAAAGATCTTTAACTTCCATTTCAATATTCTCTCAATGTTTGGTTTTCAAAGTTTCAGAGAGTTAAGAACCCTTTTTGCAATTTGCAGTGGGTCGGTTAGTCGCTTAAGGGGTGAGGTGATTCGCTGCTACATTTAGGGAAGAGAAGACAACATAAAGTGAAATTTTTTAAAGACAACATAATAGACCTCCAACCTCAATCTAATCTGTTTAGAAAACTGGTCATAAAGCTGGTCATCTAACTTAGCATTAGTTCAAGTAAGAAATGATCATTACTTATAAGATAATGTTATGATTATCCTAAACAGGTCTATGAATTAGTTTATGGTCTCTGAACTTTGTTGAAGTGTATTTTTTTTAATAATAATAATTAAAAATAAAAATAAACCTTTATTGAAATATGTACTTATTTTGTGACTCGGGTGGAAGCAATAATATCACAACATCCAGGAGTATCTGGTGTAGTTGTTGTTGGACTTCCAGACACTCGATTTACGGAGATGGTTGTTACTTGTATTCAAATAAGAGACAATTGGAAATGGATTGATTTGGGATCTCATATCTCAGCAAAGAACATTGAATTTTGCTTATCCAGTGAGATCCTCCAGCACTTCTGTAAAAAGAAGAACTTAACTGGGTATTTCTATTAATCTTTATACTGTATCAATGCTTACTTTCAGCCTTTTTATTTCATCTTCTCTTTCTTTATGCTATAGGTATTCATACAGGATTTTTTTTTTTTTTTGGCAGGTTTAAAATACCCAAAACTTTTGTTATATGGAAGAAGTCATTTCCATTGAAAGCAACTGGAAAATTAATAAGAGATCAAGTTAAAAGAGAAGTTATATCTCATGTTCAATATCTGCCTAGCAATCTATAACTACAATTTATTTATTTATTCGATTAATTAATTAATTTCATCTAAGAAGTGGGTGTGGAACATTAAAAAATAGTAATAATAATATTATTATTAATTTTATCTACCGTAAATTCCAATTCCTATTCCTATTCCAATTTCCAATTCCAATTTGGTATTATTATAAAAAGGTTGTGCTATTTTCTAATACTCCTGGCTTTCTCAACTCTTTCCCAATCCAAAAACACTAGAAGAAGGTGCAGGAAGGAAGGATGGTCTCAAAAACTCTCTACTTTCGCATGCAAACTTCAATGGATAATTACAGGTACAATTCTTCAACTGAGAATGTGGGGATTGAATGTTACCATGTTAATTTATCAAGCAACTACGACTAAGACGATTGGGACAGTGACCACAACTTCGACCCCTACAGAAAACAGAGAACAAGGGAAACTAAGAAGAATAGAGAAGAAAAGTAGCCGATGCCAATCCAAGCTAAAGTTTAAGAGTTAAAATTTTCTCAATGTTGGAACACAAAAAAAAAAAAAAAAAAAAAAAAAAAAAAAAGAAAAAGAAGAAGAAAGAAATTACCTGAAAAACGAAATCAGACAAAACTTGTTCCAACAATCCAAGCTAAGATCGATTATTTCCTCTTGTACAAAGAAAAAAGAAATTGAAAACAACAATCTTAAGTACAGAATGAGATCAAATAGTGGTTGCAGAATCATTGAAATTAGGAGGATGCGTTGTCGCGTGAAATCAAACCCACCTGATCTCAAATCAAACCCACTCGAAGCACTTCTTCCCCTTCGCGTGAAATTAGGAGGATCTCGTTTACTGTTTTGGCTGTTTCCGTATTCCCGGCTAGATGACGGCATTCTTCCCTTACGCACTCGAAGCCGAATTGCTTCAAAATCTGCTTTGGCTGTTTCCTCCGAATTGCTGTTTCCGCATTCCCGACTAGATGACAGCTAGATGATGTCTGGAATAAGAATGGGAAGTGGAGAATGGCTGAAGGATTAGGGCTATTGCAAAATGAAAGGATTAGGGCTTTGCAAAATGAAATGGGAAAGTGGAGAATGCAATGTTAATTCTCCACAAAATGACGTAGTTTTAGGGCTCAAATATTCTCTGTATATAAAATCGACGGAGGGAAAAAATAGAGGGAAGGGAAAAAATGGGGACACCTATACCAGCGCTCCTAAAAGAAGCGGTGGTATACTAGCGCTCCTACAAAAAGCGTTCGTACTATTACCATTACACTTATACCAGCGCTTTTAAAAAAAGCGCTGTTATTACACCTATACCACTATTAAAAGAAGCGCTGGTATTACACATATACAAGCGCTCTTACAAAAAGCGTTGGTACTATTACCATTACACTTATACCAGCGCTCACCAGTGCTCCTACAAAAAGCGCAGGCACTATTACCATTACACCTATATCAACGCTTTTAAAAGAAGCGCTGGTATTACACCTATACTAGCGTTTCTAATATTTAGACCTATACCAGCGCTCCTATAAAAGCGCTGGTACCATTACACATATACTAGCGCTCCTATAAAAAGCGTTGGTACCATTACACTTATACCAGCGCTTCTAAAGAGCCCGCTGGTAATATTAGACCTATACTAGTGTTTTTTTTAAAAACGTTGGTAAAAACCTAATATGTTGCAGTGAACACAAGCTGAAATGTTGTTAGTGATCAAAAAGCTAGGCAAAAGACAAGCTTCAACTTTCGGAGTAAGGCCAAGAATATCTGGTTTTTTATGGTATCAGATCTAACAGGAGTAACAAAGAAGTACATGTTGTTGATGTTTCTGTTCTTAATAGAAGATGTCTTTTTGTGAGTTGCACTTGAAGCAGTCTCCTGTAATGGCCTCCATGGTATTCTTAGGGTTCTTTTTTTTTCTCTCCTGTGTCGATTATTCAATAAAGTAATGTTATAAACTTGGAGACTTTCCACATATACTCAATTGAATAATTGACACAGGATAGAGAAAAAAAAAATGGTATACTCAAAATTTTATACTCAAAATTGTATACTTAAAATGGTGTCAATTATTCAATTGAGTATATGTGGAATTTTAACATATACTCAATTGAATAATTGACACAGGAGAGAAAAAATAATAAAATAAATAATTGACACAGTTAAAACAATTCATGTATATAATAATATATTCTTTCGATTTTAAAATAAATTTCATGCTTTATTTTTTTGTCTGTCTTAAAATAATAGTTGACTCTTCTTTTTCAAATAATATATTTCATATTTTTTATATATGTTATTTGAGTTTAAAATTTTAAATTTGAATATTTAAGATTTAAAAGGAAAAATTAATAACTTTTTAAAGAGATAATACATTTCCCAATGTCAAAACTAATGCTCCCCATTTACACGATTCTATGCCCCACTCTAGCGTACCATGTGACCCGTTTTGATATTTTTGGACTTTCTATGAAGTTTCATTGTATTTTTTCTTAATTTATTTTTAAATAGTATTGCAATATTATAGAAAGAGGTGACGGATTTTGATGGCTTCTTTCTTAATTCACACCATAAATTTCGGTGTTTTCCAATGTCATCTTTTTGTTTGGTAATGAAAAAAAGTTTAAAAGTTTTTTGTTTTTTTAAAATATATATATATATATATATATATATATATATAACAAAAAAAAAAATGGTTAAAAATGGTTTTTTATTTAAGTAAAAGGGGAATTCCTTGGAAGTCATACTATAGGGAATGCACTTCCCAACCACTCGTTAATATTGATTTATTTTCCTTTTTAATTAAGAACCAAGCGAAAGATCAGCGGCCGTCAAAATTTAAAATGGATTTCACAACCACTCGTGGTGTTCAGTAAGAAGGGGTATTTTACTTGTTTGGAACACGTATACCATTTTGTGGATAGGTGGTCACGTGGAAAAGAAAGTTGTATTGAGTTGACGCTTCTGATATTTTATAAACACAGCTACAATTGACATGTCCAGTATATTCGCAGGATGTTAAAATACTGTTTTTTTTTTTTTTTTTTTATTTATTTATTTAAGATATACTCATCATCAATGTACAAAATTATGACCAAGAATGACATTGATTAGTTATTATTAGGGCAAAAGGTATAAAACAATCACTAGAACTAAAAATAAATAATTTAAAATTTTTATGTAAATCTATTATGATATATCATATTTACAAATACTAATGACTAATCAACCGTTAACTACGGTTATCTGTTTTGATAATTGGGATGGGCTCTCATAAATGTATCTGGGTTGTTAATCCAAAATTGCTCTTTTGGGCTTGTGTTTCCAATTTATTGTTGGACTTTTAGGCCTAACGCCCACATTTGTAACTTTATTTATATATTTCAGTAGCATAATTCTCCGGTAAGAAAAAATACATCCGCCCACTGTATCTTAGTTGTGTGCAATCAATAGCAAATCATTTCATTCTAATTCCCGTCATGCCCACCATCACGTTATTCAATGATGCTTACACTTCCATTTCCTAGATGTTTGCTTGAATACATTAACTGATACTTAGGATCCTAAGCTATGGTTTTCTAATCTATCAAAGAACACCATAAAGCTAGACTCATCATGAAACAATGGACAGAAGGAAAAAACATAATTAATTAAAGTAAAAATCTAAGGTAATTAGTTCTCTGCACATTAAGACGTATATATGTATATGTACAAGGAAAGAGAAAAATTCTAAATATCGCGTATCACACCAACTGTCACTTCCATCCCAACTCTATGTAATCTTTGTTTTTCTTAAATTTATGGGGAAACAAACAAACTTTTATCATTTAAAAATATAATGGAATTTTTGTCATTAAACATCACTTAAAGAGGGTTGAAATAATATTTTATTCATTTAAATAAAAGAATAATACTAAAATTTCAATTTTGTTAAGTGCATAACATCAACATTTTTCGTTCACTATATTTGACTGTTAAAATGGGACGTCTTTGTAATAAGGTTTTAATTTTAGAGGAGGACATAGTAATTTTCAAAACAATAAGGATATCTACATAATTAGAGCAAATCTTGGGGAAGGCCAGTGTAATTTACCTCCCAAAAACAAACTCATGTGTTCTCTATTGACCTTAAGGTTTCAAACCAAGGGTGTATGAGATATTCTCTGTTGGCCCGCCCACTATACATATGGTAGTATTTTTATTTTTTACATAGGAATTTTTTATATAATGCATGTACCTCCTAAAATTATTACTTTCTAAAATTATCTCTTAATTTTTTTTGTTTTTTGCTCTTTAAATTTCTTTGAAAAAGTTAAATTTTCCTTATTAAATTGAACTCTAATTTTTTTCTTTTTGAGAGTTATGTCATTTTTCTTTCCTTTAGGGTTTGTTTGGGTAGCATGAAGTAGATAGAAAGGAAAATAAATGGAAAATATTTAAATTTGTTAGGAGTTTAGTTAACTTGAAAGAGAAAATTTTCAGAAAAGTAATTTTCTTGCAATTGCTTAATTTTCAGAAAAATTTGTCTAACATAAAACAAGGGAAATTTTACTTTCTCGTGAAAGTGGTGCCTTCATATCTTAGTTTTGTATTATGCCAATGTCACTCTTATAAGTACTTTCTCCACAAACTTCTCTAACAAGTGAGTTTCCTTCTTTTGTAAATTGCTTATAAGATAATGTAATACTAATTTAATTGTATATAGTTTTATATGTGCATAAAAAATTAAATTAAGTTAGTGTCTCTGCTTATAAATTTTTCTTAATAATGAATATAAACAAGTTTTGAAATTATAATTTAATTCATACATGTATTTTTTTATATATAAACTTCTTATGACTTTAGGACTTAACTACTCAAAGTATATTAGATGTACCAAACTCATTTAGTTTTAACTCTACATACCAAACTAATTTAGTTCCAAGTACTTTATTTCGATTAGACTGGAGTTTTTTTTTCTTTTTCTTTTTTTTCTTTTCTTTCTATGACTAAAAATATATATATCAACTTCAATCTTTTATCATTTTTCTAATCAAAATCTTTTATTAATTAAACTTGCACCTATAATCACATAAATCTAATTATTAAACAAATACAATAATATTCATTGTTTCATCTTTAAACTTAAAATTTTAATTTTGTTCAAATTCTAGAGATATGATAGTGTCTCAAAAGAGTACAAAGTAATCTTATAATTAAAAGAATAGTTTTGGGAATTACAATCACTTTATTTTCACTTTTATTCTTTCCAAACTCATAAAACAATATTTTCTCAAAACTTTCTTGAATATTTTTCTTGTTAACCAAATACATGATGAAAACTTAATTTTCTTTTCCTTTCCTTTACTTTCTTTCACTTTTACTTTCCATCAAAAATTTCTATCTAACCAAACGGACCCTTAAATAATTTTTTTATTCTTAACACTCCCCCCTAAACTAAAATCCTAGCTCCGCCCATACATGTGTGCATGAATTTGTTGTGCTTTCAATGTGATGCAAGTTGATTTAGGCAAAATCTACAGCAAAAAAAAAAAAAAAAAATTCATCGATGTACACACATGCAAGGGTAGAGCCATAAATTCAATTCAAGAGGCACAAAGTAAAAAACTAAATAAATAAATTCAATGAACATGATAACAAATATAAATTCTTCAAATCAAGAAGCAAAGAGGAAAAAAATTATTTGCAAAATAATATGTCAATCTATAAGGCTTTGTTTGGATACATAGGAAAGAAAAGAAAAGAAATGATAATATTAGTTATGAGAGAAAAGAAAAGGAAAAAAAAAAAAAAAAAAGGTAACAATAATCTCTATTTATATTTGAATATATAGAAGAGAGAAGAAATAAAATGATAGTATCTTTATTTGAATATGATAGAGGGGAGAAAATAAGAGAAATGATAACAACCGAATTATTATCATATCTTTTTCAATAGAAGAGATATGAGTGGAATAATAATTTTTTCTTTTTAATTGTTGAGGACAGTTTTGAGATTATGAAAATACCATTTAAACGCTATCATTTCTCTCCCTATTTTCTCATTTTTGGAGAGATAGGAAATGAGGGATCAGGAAGGATAACTGTCCTTCCCTATCTCTCCCTATTGTTTCTTTTCCCTCATTTTAAACCACCCTAACACAATTAAACTCTATTTTTTTTTTCTT